TCAAGGCCCTTCTGCTTCATTGCATTAAATATATCATGCCTCTGCCTTCTGGCCTATAAGGTTTCTGTTGAGAAGTCTGATGGGTTTTCCTTTTTATGTGATCTTTTTTCTCTCTCTAGCTGCTTTTAAAAGTCTGTCTTTATCCTTGATCTTTGCCATTTTAATTATTATATATCTTGATGTTGTCTTCCTTGGGTCCCTTGTGTTGGGAGATCTGTACATCTCTTTTCCTTGAGAGACTGTCTCCTTCCCCAGATTGGGAAAGTTTTTAGCAATTACCTGCTCAGTGACACTTTCTATCCCTTTTTCTCTCTCTTCTTCTTCTGGTACCCCTATAATGTGAATATTGTTCTGTTTGGATTGGTCACACAGTTCTCTCAATATTCTTTCACTCTTAGAGATTCTTTTTTCTCTTTTTGCCTCATCTTATGTGTATTCCTCTTCTCTAATTTCTGTTCCATTTACCTTCTCTTCTACTACATCACATCTGCTTCTAAATCCCTCCATTGTATGTTTCATTTCAGATATGGAATTTCTTAATGATTGAATCTCTGACTTAAATTTGTTCCTGAGTTCTTGAATATTTTTGTACCTCCATAAGCATGTTTATAATTTTTTTTTTAACTCTTTCAGGAAGATTGATGAGTTCAGTTTCATTTGGTCATTTTTCTGGGGTTTGTGAGATTTTGGTCGAACCATGTTCTTTTGACATTTCATATTTCTGTGTGGTGCCCACTAGTGCCCAGAAGCTCCAGTCTCTGGAGGTGCTCAGCCCCTAGAGTGACATTGGGGGTCCTAGGGGAGCAGAGCTGGTGCCTGAGGGCAGGAAAGATCTGTTTCCTGATTCCTGTCTGCAGTGAAGTGGGGAGAAATCTTAATGGTGGTGTCAATTTCTAGAACAGGGCCAAGCCATCTTCACAATTACCCTAATAAAGTCTTGAGGAGTGGTAAAAAAAAAGCTGGTTTTTCAAAGTCATAGGAAAGACTGCATTTTCTCTTCAGAATGAAACAATCAGCCATACCATAAGCCATACACCTGTCAGTACACCAACCAAGCCTATTAGGGTGACAAGTTATAGAATTCCAGGGTTGGAAGAGGCAACAGAGATTATATGATTCAGCTCTTTCAATATCATCAGTCTAGTTAAGGTTATTAACTTTGAACATTTTTTGGTGATAATGTCTTTTTAGGAAATGATAATGATGGATTTGTCTTCCTAAATCAAAATAGAGAAGTCTAAAATTTGTATGTTCAGTACAAGATTACTATCCTATTATCTCATGGTATCTCATTTTCAATGTTCTTCTTCTTGAGTTTCAAGAGTTCTTCATATATTAAACATGTTAGTTCTTTATCCATCATACATATTGCAAACGTTTTCCCCATTGTCTTGTAACTTGTGTTTTTGTTATCTTATCAAATTTATTCAATTTTTTTCATTCTCTTTTTTATTTTATGTGTATGGATTTTATCCTTTCCCCATTCACAACTATTCTTTTGCATCTTCTAGAACTTTTATGATTATATTTTAAAATCTGTATTTATTAATCCATCTGGAATTCATTTTTACATTCAACACATGATTTCCAAATTATTAACTAGCTATTTCAGCAAAATTTCTTAAATTTTTCTTTCTTTACTAATTTGAAAAGCCGCATCTATCACATAACATGTTCTTAGACTATGTTACCTTAAATTGTCAAATATTCCCTACTAGAACTTTAAGTTTTTTGCCTGTCTTAGTGGTAATGTTTATTTTTTACAGGATAGTAAGATGATTTTATTTTCTTTATTAGAATAAGTCTCCACTCTGTTGCTTCTGCACTTTACCCTTTGATTAAAACTTTCATTGGCTCCCCATTGTGCCTGGAATCCAGCCTCATGGTGAACCACCAGCCCTCACTGTTCCAGCTGCAGGGCCCTTTCCTGAGCCCAGGGAACATGGCATGCTCTCTCCTGTAACTCTAGGGGCGATATATTTTCCCAGCCCAGGACAAAATACCTTTGAAACTGAAGTCAATCAAAGGGAGAAATAAAGTGGAAGAAACCCATTTATTGCTTACAAACAGTCATCTGCTTCTGCTTGCCCGAGTCTCTCAAGACCAGGCTGTAAAAAGGGGCCCCACCCAACCACTCAGGTCCAGATATGTCCTCACTTCCCCATGTAATTACTTATTGATATGGAGATGGACTACTTCTCTCCATCCCTTGTAAAATCCTATTGATATGGAGACGCAGTAAGGCCAGGCAAGAGATTCTGGAAGTATTGCAGTTTTACCCTCACTTCTACCCCCAGGCCTCCACACATGTTCTGCCCTCTTCTCCCCATCACATACCAGCCCGACAGCCTCACCACGCTTGGGTCCATATAAAAGGCTTGATTTAATGTTTTCCATTAAAAAGTGAAGGATGTACAGAATTACAATTGTACAGAATGTACAATTTCCATTGTCCTGAGGGATGTACAGAATTAAGCTGAGAATTGAATTCTGTGAATATTAAATGTGCTTTGTGGTAAGAGATGGGAGATGGTGGGTCACATAGGTGTGGCTGCCTGAGCTACACTGTTATTAGAAGGCTTGCCAGAAATGCTGGCCAAGTGAACTAAAGGGAAGGACAGGATTGGTCACACCTAGATACTGTACTTTGCATACCGGCTGGTTGGGAGAGCTCAGTATTGTGATTCAAGCTGCCAACTATATTTTCCATTTTCTTATCCTTGGTGAAAGGCACAGGAAGATGAATAACACCTGGTATTTGCTCACAAATTTCTCGTGATCTGGCAGGAAGGATGAGTATACCTAAGTAATGTGGAAGCTTCCCTAATAGTGTGCATTATCCTTGTGAAGTCCTGCATAGGGAAGGACAGGATTGGTCACACCTAGATACTGTACTTTGCATACCGGCTGGTTGGGAGAGCTCAGTATTGTGATTCAAGCTGCCAACTATATTTTCCATTTTCTTATCTTGGTGAAAGGCACAGGATGATGAATAACACCTGATATTTGCTCACAAATTTCTCACGATCTGGCTGGAAGGATGAGTATACCTAAGTAATGTGGAAGCTTCCCTAATAGTGTGCATTATCCTTGTGAAGTCCTGCAGTGGCTTCACAGAGAGAGTGAGGTTTGAGCCTGGACTTTGCATGATAAACAGAATTTTGCCAGACATGGAAGGAAAATAACTCCAGACAGAACAGAATGAGCAAAGCACAGGGTATTGAAAGTATTCAAGTATCTTGGGGAATGTTCTGTACAGAGATGATGGGTGATAATGCTTTGAGACAAGGCTGTGAAGGTCCATGACTTCCATGCCAAGGAATTTTAGCTCATGCTACAGAAAATGGGGAGCCATTTAAGGTTTTCAGTTGTCACAATAACAAAACCTTTTCTAAGTTTTTGCAAGCTGATACCGAAAGCACCAAGGAGGATGAATTCACAGGAGTGGAAGACTGAAAGTACCAGCCAACCAAATATTGATCCCCCAATCCTTCACCATTTCCTGTTCATGGTCATTCTCCCAGAAAAATATTTAGCTGCCAACTGGGCCCATAAAAACAGTGAAAAATTCAGGGCTCTTCATTTAAATTGAATGGATAATTGGATTTCTTAATTTTCTTAAAAATAGTATCTGAGTTTCTTTGGAAGTAGGGTAATGAATAAGATGATACCTGTTGCATCCAGAAAATGTGGGGACAAGCTCTGCAAATCCTGGGCCAGAAGTGATGGGGGATATACATTCACTCACGCATTGAGTTAACATTTACGGAAGACTTACCATGTTCTAAACAGTACTCTTGTTCCTGGGATGCAGTAAAGAGCTAAAGACGTGTAGTTTCATGCATCTTGGAGCTTACACTGTAGTAAAGAATTCAAATATTAACTAAATTATCTATGCATTGAATGCATAACTGTAAATTTTTGGAAGTGCTATAAAAATTATTGAGGAATCTAAGAGTTACAAATGGGAATAAAACTATTCCTATCATCAGATACAAGTCCGTTCTCAGAGAGGTGATTCACAAATATTTTCTCCCAGTCTGTGGCTTCATTTTTGTTTTTTTAACAGTGCCTTTCTCAGAGCAGATGTTTTTAATTTTAATGAAATCTGACTTACTGATTTTTTCTTTCATGTATGGTATTTTTGGTATTGTAATCTAAAAACTCATTTCTGAACCCAAGTTTATCTAGATTGTCTCATATTTTCTAGGAGCTTCATAGTTTTGCATTTTACATTTAGGTTTATGATACATTTTGAATTAATTTTTCTGAAAGGTGTATGGTTAATTTCTAGACTCATTTTATTTTTTTGCGTGTGACTGTCCAGTTGTAGCAGCACCATATGATGAAGAGATATCCCTATCTACTGGAACTTTACAGTCTAGTAAAGGCAGTAAGACCTATATACAAATGATTGAAATGACTTCACTGAACTATTTGTCCTGAAGGATGTACAGAATTAAGCCGAGAGGTTTAAAAGTGACATTTGAGGTGGACTGTGAAGAATGAATAAAGTTTCATCATACAGATAGGGCTGAGAAAGAAATAACAGAAAACACACAAACTGTACTTATTTTTAAAAGGCCACCCTGATTGCAGCATTAAGAAATATGTAACAAGGCAAAGATGTCAGCAGGGAAACCATTTATTGGTACTTTAGCGAGATGAAAGGCAGTGGAAATGATGGTAGTAAGAAATACTTGGCTGTAGGTAGAATTTGTTAATAGAGCTGATGGGATTTACATATAGATTGCATGAAGGGCGTGAGAAAAAGAGAAGAGCCAAGGATCAAACTGAACACTCTTTGCTTAAACAGTCAGAAGAACGGAGTCACCATTTCCTGATTTGAGAATCACAGACAGGAGCAGGTGTGGGGCTGGGGCATCCCTGAGCATGGTTGGGATGTGTGAAGTCCACCTACTAGACTTCCAAGTGAAGTGTTGCAGAAGCAGTCGGATGCTTAAGCTTGGAGCTCAGCAGTTGTCTGTGCATGACTGGTATTTCAGCCGTGAAATCAGGAAGCGAATGTAGATAGAGAAGAAGACGGCTCCACGGACTGAAGCTTGGGGGACTCCAAAATGTGACAGTTAGAAAGATGAAGAGGAACCAGGAAAAGGTACTCAGATGGAGATGCCAGTGAGGGAAGGAAGAGGATCAACAGAAGGGTACAGGACACCAAGAGTATTGTATTCAAGAAGGAGTTTGTCAAATGCTGCAGGTAGGTTAAGTAAAATGATGACTTACAGTTGACTTTGGATTTATTGGTGTGAAAGTCAGTTTTAATGTCCTTAACAAAGGCTGCTTCCATGGAATATAGAGATGACAGTCTGCCTGAAATGAGTTTTCTCAGTGGAGAGAAACTGAAGAGATTAAGTATAGATAATTCTTGTGAGGATGTTTTTTGCAACAAAACAAGGAAATGGAACAGTAGGTAGAGGAAACTGGAAGACAAGGAAGGCTGTTGTTTTTATTTGTTTGGTTAGTTAAGATGGGTGTAAAGCTGAGGGAAAAAATGACTAATGTAGGAGTGAGAGAGGAACCAGTGAGACTGATGTCCTTGAGTGAGAGGAAACAGAATCAGTGCACAAAAGGAGGGGCTGGGCATAGGAGGAGCTGGGGACAGTTTATCAATAGTGACAATTCTCTAAGCCATGAGGAACCATTAAAGTTTACTGAGTGAGTGGTATGATTCTGATTATTCCTCATAATCTATTTATTCCTTCCCCTTTTACAAATGGATGAATTCAAATGCATGAAAGTGTGTCCAAAAATAAACACGGGAAGCAGTTTTGCTCAAAATAAAATAGATGACATTTTCATGTCCAGAAAAGTTGAAGCAAACCGTTGTGTTTATTTCAGCAACTTCTCTAGCTTTCATATCAAGATCTTTTTGCTGTTATTAAATGTTGCTGAATTGTTTTACTTTGAAAATAAACTTCCTAGTATAAGAACAAAGAAAAAACTGAAGGAACAAAACAGCAGCAGACTCACAGAACCCAAGAATAGACTAACAGTTACCAAAGGGAAAAGGGACTGGGAAGGATGGGTGGGAAGGGAGGGATAAGGGGAAAAAAGGAGCATTATGATTAGCACACATAATGTAGTGGGGGGACACGGGAAAGGCAGTATATACAGAGAAGATAAGTAATGATTCTATAGCATCTTACTACACTGATGGACAGTGACTGTAATGGGGTATATCGGGGGGACTTGATAATAGGGGGAGTCTAGTAACCATAATGTTGTTCAAGTAATTGTATATTAATGATATAAAAAAAAGCCAAAACCTTCCTAGCACCTAAAATCAATTTTCTTTATGCATTTGAAAATGCACAGTGTGGTTTATTACTTTTAAATTTTGCTGAATAATAATTTTAAAATCACCATTCCTTGACTACCAATAGCCTACTACTATGTCAGACAAAACTGGAAACGTAAAGAATTCTAATCAAATTCCCCACTTTGAAACAGGTTCAGTCACACAAAGGAAATAGAGGAAACTTTGAAGCAAATTATATATAGGATAGTTCTTTTTTTTTAAGTTAAGGCATCATTGATACACAATCTTATGAAGGTTTAACGTGAGCAACATTGTGGTTACTAGAATCACCCATATTATCAAGATCCCCCACACCCCATGCAGTCACTGTCCATCACACAGGAAGATGCTGTAGAGTCACTATTTGTCTTCTCTGTGCTGTACTGCCTTCCCCCTGACCCCCCTTCATTGTGTGCTAATCATAATGCCCTATATAGAATAATTTTTGATTGAAATAATGAACTTTTCTGATCATTCATGAAGTTTGACATGTTACATTTTTTTCAATGGAAAAACAAACATCAAATACATTAGTCTAATTCCCGGTAAATTGTTATCATTGAATGTACTAAGCTCCTTAGAAGTTTTCCAGTCTCATACATATCTAAAATTACTTCCTCTGTGAATGTTACTCAGTTTTCAAATCTGAAAGGGTTTTTCTTTTGCATCTCCATAGACACGAACGTATTCACACCAAGAAAAGTAACTTCAGCAGAACTCTGATTTCCGGTTTGAAGGATGTAGATGATTTAGCAATCCTAGAAGTTTTGGATGAGGTAAGAAACTCAGTTTAATTAATTTTAAACATTGTAGTTTTTTTGTGATTTATAGAAGTGATGTGAGCAGGAGGTGGTTTTAATAGCACCTGGTAGTTTCATGCTTGCTTTTTCTCTTAACCTCTGATTTCTCTCTCTCAATTTCAGTATAACTTGAAATTCCGTATCTCTCCAGCTTGATGTCAGTTTGCTTCGATACTCAAATTACAAAGGTTTAAGTTCCCACTAGCACGAGTTGCTCGTAGTCCTAGGCCCTTCTTACCCTGAATTCTTGCAGTCTCAAAGGGATGATTTACTGAGCAAAAAAATAACCTGCCTCCTACAACCTCCAAGTGGCATCCTCCCTCTTTTTCCTCTCCTGTTTCACAACCAGCGGCTGTGTCCAGAGGCCCAAGATTCCTGGAAAGCTTGCTGCACCATGGTCAGTGTTCCCCCTTGTGAGATCACAGAGCTAATCTGGTAGAGCACTGAATTCTGCCTGAAACTCCTTATCCCACTGATCTCAGAAATATTTCAGACATCTCTTGTGAAGCTATAAATCCAAGCCAGTAAATTGCAGTCTGAGCATTCCTTCCTCTCATCCCCCTTTATTCCAGACAATCAGATCATTAGAGAAATAAGTAACTCCTCTTCAGTAAATGATTAGGCTCTCTATCCNATTAGGCTCTCTATCCTGACTGAACAACAGATTTTTTTTAATACTTCTGATACATGCCTGAGCATTTTGCTCAGAAACGTAATAAATCAAGAGACATTTTCTGAGCAGAAGTAGTCATTTGGTAAATTTAGGGTTGCATAAACAACTCAAGTACTTCCTCAAAAGAATCTCTCTTGAGAACATCAAACATCTTGTAATCAAGTAGTGTTTCCAAGTCAGAGATTGCCAACACTTTTATAAATCTTTATGTATCCGATTTTCTGATGATGTGAATTTGGATTTCACAGCAGGCTTTGCTTATCATATTGCTGACCTACATATCAAATCCTGGGTTGGTTTGTTTCTACTACCTGTGTTTTCTTCGTCTGTATTTTGACCTCAGATCTTTTACTCCTCTCTTGTGTCATATACCATAAATGATTTCTGACATTATTAAAATTGATTCTGTGTACTCATGATTTATCGACTATAAAAGCTACTTTTCTGTACTTTTCACTATGCCTCATAAAGGACAGTGTCTAAACTGAGGGCTAGGATATTCCACAGAGCACTGAATAACCATAATTTGGAATAAAACCATGTTCACTCTGTCTTCTCTTCCCGTTTTGAGTGATCTTTCTCTTTACTTCATCTTCTGCATTTACTTAATTCCTTGAAAGTATTATATGTATACCCTGTCAGATCTAGTGTGTCCTTGGAAACTAGAAAATGCAATGACCACCCTCTAAGGCTCTCCAAACAAGAGAAAGTGCCTGATCAGGTAGTTGCTGACCCAGTTCTTACCATCAATATGTCTATTTCTTATTCTGATCTAAAACAGATTCCACATGTTTTATTATTGTTTACTTTCTAGAATTATAATCAACCATAAATGTTTTTTAAGAAAAATCCTTATTTTTATTCTTTTATAGAATACAGTCTCAGAACAACTTGAGAAGTGTTATTCCAGAGATCAGATTTATATCTATGTGGGAGATATACTCATTGCTCTTAACCCTTTTCAGAATCTGGGTCTTTATTCCACAGAGGTATGTGATGTGACTTGCATTCTCTTATTTTGTCCTAAAGATTATACTATTCAGATATTTAAAATAATTTAAATGATGCCAAAGGAAGTTTTCTTAAATACCTTGAGTAAAGAGTTAAATTATTATTGTTAAAACATAGAGACAGGAAAAAATGGAATATAAACCAATCTGGATGTGGGTTGTGGTCTTCCTTTTTCCAAAAGCATATGGCAGAATGCTAATTACTTCCAGTTATTGGCAGCTGGGCTATACTATGTATCATATCAATAAACAGATCCTAAAAAAGCATATACTTAATGTCTAATTCTGAACCAAATATGAGAGAATCAAAGTATGATTACATTGTTTATACCAAATTGTATAAACTTAATGACTGTAAAACTTGTCACTTGAGTTTAAAAATTCCTTTTACAATATTGATGGTTTTTTAATGTCAAATAGTGGTTTGTGAATATAATTATCCATTATTCAACCCCTAATGATTTAAATGTAGAATAGTATTATGGAATTAAACTAGGCTATTTTTCATTTTTTAATTGGACACCTTCTTTTCTAGGTATTTGTGTACTCTAGAAAATTATTTAATATTGTACCAATAGTTATTTTTTAAATGTGAAAACTGGATAATTCTGTCATTCACTACCACCTTAAAACATAAAAAATATCCAATTTATTAACCTTGACCTAAATTTCGAGGGATCTGGGTTTTTGTGCAAATTCTGCCATCAATTAACTGTGTGATCTTAGACGAATTAAAGAAGAGAATATATGTTAAATGACATGAAGGGAAAAAGTAGTTATCGTATGTCAGGCACTATTATATTTAGGAGCCAAGAAAATGATGCCTGGAAGGAGGGTTCTTTTAAATACATTTTTAAGTAAGTGATATTGTCATATTATGTCATATTATGTTGCTAGACTGTATATGTCTAGCCTTATTTTACATAATTGTACATGATTTGTGCATGTGTGTGTGTGTGTGTGGTATGTGTATATAATATGCATGTAATGTTTTGGTGGTATGAAACCATATTTTCTTTCTGTTTTGCTTTAAACATTGGAGGTCTATCTGTAAATAATCTAGGGGTTTAAGCACAAACAAAAGCAAGAGCTCTACAACATGTGCTCTCTTTAACTTTTAGCATTCCAAGCTATATACTGGAGCAAAGAGAACTGCCAATCCTCCTCACATATTTGCAGTGGCTGACTTGGGATACCAGTCAATGGTAACCTACAATTCAGATCAGGTAAGGAGAGTCTCACATTTTTAGAAATATTCCCCTCTTAGTTTTTGTGTGTAAGCTGAATTATGTCAATAAAGTCTTCTTATGGTTCCCGTCTCACCGTGCAGTGCATTGTTATTTCTGGAGAAAGTGGTGCTGGAAAGACTGAAAGTGCTCATCTTTTAGTTCAGCAGCTGACGGTGCTTGGAAAGGTACAATTTTTTTCTCCATTCCAATGGATCTATTTGTTATGTTTCATAGCCTGATTAAATCAATGTTCACTAATTCCCACATTTAATAATGCACAGAAACTATAAAACACACTTGTTATCCTTGTGAGTTTAAAGTATAACAAATAATATCAAAATTATGTGGCCTATTTTGAGGATATTCTAACATTTCTCACTCTTAGTGGTAAGGCTTTATAAATATGATTTTCTCTCTTTTTAGCCTCAATACATTCACTGAATACTTTATTTTCTCACCTCTTTTTGCCAACAGGTTAAAAAGGAGTTAATATATGGAAATCAATTGTATTTACCTATATAAAAGAACTGTTTAAACCTAAATCTTACAAACTGTGCAAGATGTCTATGCTGAAAAGTAGAAAAAGTTGATAAAAGAAATAAAAAAGCACCTAAAAAATGGAAAGATACATCATGTTCATTGTTTAAAGACTCATATATTAATTAATATGTCAGTTCTCCACAAACTGACCTGTACAGTCAGTGCAGTTAACAATACAAATCTGAGCAGTATTTTTTNAAGTAGAAATAAAACTCCAAAACCACATATAACATGAAAACATAGCAAATACAACTAATCTTAAAAGAGTGACCAGAAGGAAACAGCAACAGACATTACATCTGGGGAAAATAGAAGACCTCAAGGAAAAGGGTAAAGTAGCAAAGCCACAATCGGGCAGAACCCAAGCCCTCTCTCCAAACCCAGCACACAGGCAGGAGGAGCAGAAATGGAGGAGGGAAGAAGTAGAAGCCCAGGACTGCTAAATACCCAGCCCTGAAGATCTACTCTAGGACCACGAACCCACATTGCATGGTGCTCTGGAAATTAAAGGGGTTGGAAAGCAGGGACAGGTGGAATACTTGGGCAGACTGAGATTCCAGCCACTTATATAGAACAAGTACCCAAAAACAGCCACTACAGGACAACACAAAGACAGGTGCATTGAAAGACTTGCCTACAGTGAGAGGGCTGCTAAAGGGGCAAGGATTACACAGAGCTTGCTGCTAAGGAGGAAGGATAGGTAGACAAAATTGTCCCAGCATACTCAGCCCATCAGGATGGGAACTTTCAGGAATTTCAGTAGCTCCATCCCCCTGGCTGACAATGCAGCCTCGAGGCCCCCCACCACCATAAGCTGCCATCCACTCCTTCCTCCTGGCTGCCACCTTCTCACAAAGCTGCTACCCCCGCCATGGCACTGGGTCAGCAGGAGGGAAGCACCCAATACAGCAGCTAAAGGGGTGTAATGCAAAGGCTGCTCCCTGCATGCTTGTCCAACTGGCCCTGGCAGTTCAGGGAGACACTGTGGCCATGAATCAGGGAAGAGCTCCATCATCCCAGCAGGCACCAGTGCCACATGCCTGCAACCAATGTGAACACCCCAGAGAGTAAAGATCCTGGTCACTAGAGGGAGTGAATTACACAAAGTTTTCATTCCATAGGATTCAAGTAGGAATGAAATGTCAAAAGAACCTGGCTCAATCCAAAATCCCTAAAACACCAGAGAGGAGAGTGACACCAAGATAACCAATCTTCTCAATAAAGATTTCAAAGTAAAAATCATAAACATGCTCACAGAGCTACAAAAACATATTCAAGATCTCACAGACTATTCAAGACAGACATAGGGACTTTGAAAAATACAATAGCTGAACCGAACCATACAATGCAAGGATCTAAAAGATTAGAAGAGTGACAGGAGACTCAATGGAATACAAATTACAGAACAGGAACACAAAGAAGCTGAGGAAGAAAGAGAAAAAATGATCCCTATGAATGAAAGAGTATTAAGAGAACCATGTGACCAATCCAAAAGGAACATTATTCACATTATAAGGGTACCAGAAGAAGAAATAGGAAAAGGGATAAAGAGGGTCTCTGAAGAAATAATCATTGAAAATGTCCCCAATCTGGGAAAGGAAAGTCACACAGGCCATGGAAGAGCACAGATCTCCCAACACAAAGGACCCAAGGAAGATAACAGCAGGACATACAATATTTGAACTGGCAAAGATTAAGGATGAGGACAGAATATGAAAAGCAGCCAGAGAGAGAAAAAAGATCACATACAAAGGTAAACCCATCAGACTATCGTCAGACTTCTCAACAAAAATGTTACAGGCCAGAAGGGAGTGGCAGGATATACCTAATGTAATGAAACAGAAGGGTCTTGAACCAACAATACCCTACTCAGAAAGATTATCATTTAAATTTGAAGAACGGTTTAAACAATTTTCAGATAAGCAAAAATTGAGAGAATTTGCCTTCTTCCACAAACTGTCTCCACACTGTTCTAAGGCTAAATAGCTGTTACCAGAACAAACAAAACCATAGTAAAGAAAGTAGAACAATTAATTACTAAAAAAAATGGAAAATTAAATCAACTACCCAAAAGTCAGTCAAGGGATAGACAAAAAGTACATATATGACACCTAATATACTAAATATGGAGGAGGAAGAAAAGGAGGGGAAAAAATAAAGTTTATATTGTGTTTGTAATAGAATCGAATGAGTTATGTTAGACTGTGAGACAGAAAGAAAGTTACCCTTGAACCTTTGGTAACCACAAATCTAAAGCCTGCAATGGCAATAAGTACATACCTATTGATAATCTCCCTAAATGTAAATGGTCTGAGGGCATCAATCAAAAGACAGAGTCACTGAAGGGACAAAAAATAAGACCCATCTATATAATGCCTACAAGAGACTCAGTTCAAACCCAAAGACATGCACAGACTAAAACTGAAGTTATGG